TGGACACTTAGAGCCCCCCGGGGGATTTTGACGGCCGAACGCAACGCACACGTGTGTTATGTACTGTAAATGGTATCGTTTTTTTGTGTCCCTGAAAGTGAAACACATGAACACATCGCGTGCGCAACGCAGACAAGAAACGTACATACGGAAAGGATGTATTGAGTGGCCAAAAACAAGCACTGATGCACGTGTACACAGCTATGGCTAATCGGCATGGGCTGCAATGGACAATGTGATTTAAGTTATTGCCCCATCTTAACGCCTGGTTCGATCATAGCTTTTGGTGATCGTTTTGTTGTGTGTCCTGGCTTAGGGGATTTAGAAAGCAATTTATGATAGAAATTTGGAGGGTACATAATACACGCGCCGATGAGCCTTTTATTCACCAACTACCGGGATCCTGACAACAGAGGGCGTGCTTACATTTCTATATAAGTAGACATGTTTCACAAAACGGTTTCAAACTCACGGCAACGGATTCCAATGGAGGACCATCCAGTTATATCAAAACTACTTTAGCAATGAAAAAATGACCACTTTCATTCGTAATTCAGCACTGAAGTCGCCAAATTTTTTAACAGCATGCTCTACATTCACCTCCTGAAAACTGCAGGACAGAGCTCTTTCTGAGGTGAAATCTGTGGAAGTACTGCTAAATATCGTCGACTAAGTTGCATGTATTTAGTTTTCCGCCACAACCGCCATATGTTGTGGTGATTAGTTTACGCTATTGGCCGCGGGTGTGTTATTCAACAAATACTCATTCTTTGGGTATCGTCATTCTTATTTAATACCTAACTTTTGTTAGTAATAGCAAAACGTATTAATAGCGGGAAAGTCGGGTCCCCACATCCTTTCAATGCATTGTTAATTTGGACCAAATTCGACTAGATCATTTTGCTCTTGGTCTGGATAATCCACTCGTGGTACACGTAAATTTGAGTTGGTTTAACTTATTCTGTTCTAACTCTATTTTTGATTTAGTATGGCTTACATGGATTTGGCGATATGGCGTTTCAAGTTATCATGGTGTTATCTATTCCAACATTCTCAGAAGGTTTGGTTTTTACGACACATATTTATTCATATCCTAATTCCCCACAATCGCTCTTTGTTCCTGTAGTCTTGGGACGGTTCTCTCTGTATTCGCCCTAACATTTTGCGAGAGTTGAGCGTGTAAACAAGTGTATTACCTGAACACTGGAGGAGATGACCGCGCCTTTTATACGCATGTAGCCGCAGCGAGGACAGTCAATCAATGATTGTTCTGCACCAAAATTAGGAAATATTCTCACTATTTACCCTTATTTAAGGGAAGGACACAGAGGGTTGGGTGAATCACGATTTTTTAACTGTTTTGGTTTTTACAGTATTGTTAGCACGAGAATTTCCAAATGTGCGATAGGGTGCTGACGATAACTAGATGTACGTGAGTGTCGTGCATACTCGATGCACAAGAACTGTGGCAGCGCTTTGTCTAGTTTCACTTGCTCCAATTTATGATATGAGTCGATTGCGTATTGATTGTTTTGAAGTTGAAGTACTTGACCTGTGCTTATTTTCTGGAATGCTGGCTACGGTGTCTGGGCTTTGTTTCAACAAACTGGGCTGGGCTTTGTTTCAACAAACGCTTGATCGATAACAAGTGATGAAGTGCTAGGGTTGGCCTCGAGATCAAAATCCTAGCCTTCAAAACCCATTGGAGCTTCAGCGCGCGCAGTTGCACGCCAGCCAGCCAGAGCGCACTACTGCACGGTTGGTGCATATTATTCTCGCCAGGAGCATGCCCGAAGTCACGAATGGAACTAATTATTTGCACGAGAATTGATCCTTACCTGGGAGCAATTGTTTGCCCCTTTTTTACACTGCTACGTGCACAATCCGGTGGAATTGGGTAAGCATGTCATTTTAAATCTACGGTAATACACTGAAACTCTCGGTCACCGCTGATGAATCGTGGGGAAAATTAGCAGTAGCTTTGATTGTGTTCAAAATAAAAGGAACAAAGAAAGACGTCAATCTAGAACACTGAGTTCAGGCCAGCTCAAATTTTGATTTCCTACTATGTCTAACTTAGCAATTTTTTATGACAATGGATGTCCCTCTCCGTCAAATTTCGCCTTGAGAACAATGTAGAACAGAAGCGACTACAACCTTTTTCTTTTATAGAATGCTTCGAGGCGCTGCGAAAGCGTTTCGCACAGAAATCGTTGGTTGGCGAAGGCCTTGCATAGTCTGACGTAACCTTTCACGTTGTTTATTATGGTACAATGAGGGCGCCATACAAGGCTTAGTTAATCAAGTGATGACGGCTGCATGGAGATACTAAGAAGATCAATCCGCAACGATGTGCAAACACTCCGCTGGCAAAAACTCTACACGCTGTCAACAGCACCGTCGAGGTCTAAATTATTAGTGCGCGGCAACAGCTGATCAGACTTGAACCAAGCCTAGTACATTTACTTCCGAATTCACGTCCAGCCACTGGTCGGTGTGTTCAGCGCGAGCGAAGTATAGCGGTACTGCGCGGCATGTAGGGTGGTGTGTGAGAGACCACACTGATATTTGGTGACAGCACTCTGCCCATCTTCGCTGTTCCGTGACAACCTCGACGGTGAGGAGGTGTGAGTATTCCGTTTGTTAGAAGATTTTAACCTTTTGCGTGTCGTGTTGAATTGCGTTTTTGTTGTTGTTTTTTGCATGGGGTTTTATGGTTAGTTACCTCTCGGAGGGTATTTTATACTCCTTTTTTGTTTGAGGTGATGAACGAACTTAGTCTACATCTAACCGTCATGTAAATGCTGTTGCAATATCATGCGATCGTCATTCAGACTTGGAATTGCACATGCATAGTTCAGATGTTGCACACTAACTTTAGGTACATTTGCAGATTTTTTGCCCCCCCCCTAAAAAAGGGTTTGAAATCCAGATACCGCAGTACTGGTTTTCCTCAAAGTAAAGGTCTTACACGCCTTTTAAATCACCAGAAACACCCGTTTTTCTTTCAAAGTATAAACCCTGTTGCACAACCATCCTTCCGTTATTTCGCTTGCTGAAAAGAAGACATCGAAATGTCCATTATACAGGCTCGCAGAAAAGGTAAACTTTATCGGGACTGAAAGGTCCCTAATAAATCACTTTCCGCCCCTCGATCAAGACTTAACCTGCTGTTGAAGAAAAAAAAAATCCTCGGACTGTACTTTTGTTGAACTTTTGGCATAACTTTTACTGCCCGAAAGTGCTGTTGCTAGCTAGCTCAGATATTGCATGTAGTACGAAACGGGGCATGGATAGGTTATGTATTTACATGGGGCAGGTGCACGTAAGGATTGCACCAGAGAAAAAAGCTGCATGGAATGAAAATTGAAGAGATTCACATTGATCGTCTGGTCAACGGATTCCTTCATTATTTACACACGTGTCTGCTAAATGAAGGTTGAGTTCAAGCCCGGGTAACCAAGTAACCTTATACCACCCTAGTTTAATCATTAAAAACCACTCCCGACCTAAATAGGCTTGCACAACAATACTGCCACACCAGTTTCGTAAAGCAAGATACGTGTGTGTCATGAAATGAACTAACAAGTCATGTGGCTTTACGGTTTATATTTTGGTAAGCATCATTAATATAAATAGGCCTACTATTTGATGTCTGCTTTTATTTTGAAACCTCTCCGCAGTGGCATTAATAATACCTTTGTTGTCTGAGAAATCCCAAACTAGCATGCACAGTTGGCTTTGTGATACTCGGTTCTATAATCTCCATTTTGGTACCTATAACGTGATCGGTGCGCTACCCGCCCGGCAACCGGTTCGGATGTACAGCTTTCGGGTCTATTATTACTGATTTGGGTGAAAGTGTCTATCTTCAGAGAGGTAAACGGGGGAAAAGGCAAGACATGTATGCCCTTAACATGCATCCGCAATTCTAAACTATGCCGGACCCCAGAGCCTTTTGAATGAACACCGAAATACCAAAACTTGTCTCCACAACAGAGTTGGCAGTGAACGGGACAAACGTGGCTTGGTAACAGTCACTTTAAAGCAAATGGTTGAGCGTACATTGTCAAAATATGGCGGGGCTTTTGGTAGACCATTCGTCCTGTGGGATTCCTCGTAACAGTCGGCGGAGATGCATTTGCATCGGTGGTAAGTGGGATAAAAAGATCCGCATCCTCTAGGGGAAAGGTGTTCTAGAGGAATCAGTACCACTACTCTGACAAATTTTGTCTGATAGGGACAAGCTCAAAAGCCGAAATCAACGGTGAATTGGTCTTGGGGTTCAACGACCACCAAAGCTACCCCAGCCCTGGCGTTCAAAGCGACGCCGCGAATTAAAACAGTAATCTTCGAGTGTCCCAGCACGTCCGTTCGACGACTGCGCCGCGCTAACTACCGCTGCAGATTTCGAAGCCAAAGGAGTTGGTTTATGGCCAGACTAGCGGAGCCTGGAAGCCACTTTCGAGCTCGGTAAAGCCCTTGATAACTGACTGCATGTCGTTTCTTGATTACTGTATACACGAGGGGCGCAGTCTCGGGTTGGACACGCCGCGCGCGTGATTGGATTGGCACGTCTCCAGATGGAGGGGTTTCGGAACTGCTAATTTTATGAGAAAGAAAGCGTGGAAAGTGATAACAGTGTCGACACTTTTGACGATTGATCACATATAATTACTTGTACTGTATTCGGAATTCGTCGCTTTATCGCATATACAAAGACGGCGCGGTAATACGGAAACCCGATTGGGTTGGCCCATCTTAATTTTTAGGACTTATGCAACACAGTGGTGCTAAACAAGAAGAATTGGAGTCAGTAAGCGAGAAAGGGGACCATGCATCAAAACCAACAAGTCCGTGACACTTCTAGCAACGGGACCGCTGATTGGTCACAACACCCTGTCTCGGGACGATGTCTTTCCAAAAAAAATCGCTCAGGATTTTCAACTCAGCACCTTGCGACTGTATCGGGCAGTCTCTTAGCTCTCAGCATGTGAAAAGTTCCTTTGGGAACCACTGTGTTCTGTTTTTTATAACGCGGATTTCTTTCTTGACAACTTTTTTTTTACACCGATTGACTAAATAAAGTTTTCAGTTTGGTTATTGAATAAGTTAATCCTAAAAGAGAGTTTCTCAGATATCGTTACGATTTCCCTAACCTTTAATGGTCTTCAAGAACTGTCATACAGTTTCGGCACCATTATTGGAAAATCGGACATCAGGCATACCATTCCCACGAAAGTCCTGCTTTAGACTGGTCGACAAAGTATGTCACTTATTTCAGCTAGATTACTCAGGGCAAGCGAGACAGGCATGCACTATGAACTTACTCGATGGTCGAACAAAATCCGGCCCTCTCAAAGTTAGACGGGTATTTTTACCCAGATTGATTAAATCATACAGGTGCCCCGCTTGTATGCTTGGGCGTCATTTCCATTTAGCCCCAGCCTCTTTGTAAACGCTGATCCACCAATTATCATTCCAGTCTGACGTATGTGCTATGCATCACGTTGATTGTGGACATTGAAGATCTGAAAGCCTATTTGGCCTTTCATAGCTCTTTCCATGGTCCATTCTGTCTTTCTTCTCTGTAAACAAGGATCCTGTGGATATCTTCTGTAAGCACCCATCCCCCTCAAAAAAAATTGAATCTCCATTTTATAAAAGTGAAGATGACACTGTTAAAACATTTGTCCCTGCAGGGCTCTAATGACCATCACTTTGGCGCCAAAATGCGTGTGAAGGACAGTGTGAATATGGCACGTCTGGAACGCACCTTTTCAGCTGATTGCTTGTGGGAATACACGGGCACACTCTTGGTGGAGTGATAATCAATTTGAACGTGAAACGTAACCCGGGGGACTTGAGTGTCGATGGTATCGGGGTGTTTGCAAGATGAAAAGGGTCTGTACATTAGTTGAATCTGGGACGAGATGACCTGGAATATGTATCCCAGCATGTGAAACTTTTTACATCGTGACTGTACCACACAAAAGTCATTCCTTGTTTTTCTTGACAACAGTTGTAAAGATTTTACACTGGTGAAGAAAAATCGTACATCCACTGAATCGTAGCAACGCTTTTTCGAACTATCTTTTAAGGCATATCAACTTTGCAACAGCTGGTGAAACGCCGGGCATTGTTTTTAATACAGAAAAATCGCTTCATAGTTTAAACTCAAATGTTTGCGAATTTGTGTAAAAATTAATGAAAACTTGCCAGAAGTGTATTGGTGGTTGGTGTTTGATCAACGCTGAAGCTTTGTTGACGCATAATGTCCATTTTAGATTGTTGTTGCACTCGCTCATTACCCGCAAAGACTCATGTGTGTAGTATGCACAATTGAAAAGACAAAATGGCTCGAACAACGACTAGATGATCAGCAAAACGAGTGACGCCTTCCCTCGCCAACTCTTATGTATACACGTTGACATGCCTACGACAGAGATTGTTGATGATTAATAAACAGCGTTCGTTACGGAGCCTTATTCGCTTGCACATGACACTGTAAACAAATGAATCGAAAGGACAAAAACAAATTAAAGGCTGGCCTTTCTGACAAAGTTGACTTGAGTTCCTACGTCTGGCTGATTTTTTTTGACACGTCTCAGAAAGTTTCATTTCCCAAGCCTTAACGACCAGAGCGTTGACGTAAACTTTATACCACGGTCTTGAAACCCAAAACTGCTGAATAAAGTACACGTTTCTGCACCATTGATGTCGCTACTGGAAAGTTCGAAATATTGAAAACAACGAAAGTGTTGATGCACGCGGTGAAAACGAACATCGAAAAGAATTAGGTATAATTTACAAGTAACCTTTCCGACCAAAGATATCTCAATGCACGCGTTGATAGGTTGGTAGGCTATTGGATCTGTTTTGATATCTTTGTCGTTAGGAATTGTGGTCTTTTCATGGAGACGATTTCCTCCTATAATTAAAGAGGGTTATTTCATATAGCCCAGCTTGGATAGCATGTTACCCCGCTAACTTTTGGTTTGATCGGTTCCTTGTCTTATTCGGATCTTGTCACGGAGATCTCGCGACAATGTCCTTCTACGTCATATCTGGAAGTTTCCCTGCGGTCTTGTTGCTTTCGAGAGAACCCCGGGGCGTCCGATCCAATTGCAAGGTTGTCTCGAAAAGCTGTTTTTGTTTAATCCACCGCAAACTCTGATCGGAGTAAAGCAGGGAAGAGGCCCGCGACTCCGAGGCGTAAATCGGTAAAATGCAATTTCTTGCCCGTGTTTATTTACCCCCATCATCACAGTTCGCTGCCTCGGTGGGTGTTTGCCTTACTCGGAACCGTTTGCTTTTCTCTCTGCATGCCTTGTTTTTTAATACTGGAGTCGTCCGGAGAGCGATACATGTCTTCAATCTGAAATGCAGTTTTCCTGGCTGTCACTGATGGCCCGTCTAGCTTATTCCCGCTGTGTATTGTGAAGAGACACTCAGTCGGATATGAGTGCCGTATAGATGCATGCATATTCCAAGGCGTGTATTGGAAGTTGAAGATAAGGCATTGCTAATCGGAAAATCATTGTTACCCAGTGGTCTTAGGATGTTTCTCTCTGAAATACGCGCACCGTGAAGGTAAACCCTATTTTTGCTCAAGTGGTAATGCACG